GTGTGTGGCCAGCAGCCAGCGTGAGCGGCCAGCAGCCGCAGTGAGCGGCCGTCCAGAAGCCAGCGACTGATCTGCCTTGCCAGAGAAGAGCGCAATGATGGTGCCAACTTGGGCCAGTGAAGCAACATCCTCCACAACTAGATTGAAGAACAAAAAACGACAGCAACTTGTCTGTTCCCCTTCCCCCAATTCCCCAGCACTGTTCCCATCCCCCCAGTTCTCCAATAAAAATCTTTAAAAAAAAAAAAAAATACAAGTCTCCCATAACTTCCCCATTTCTTGCTCCCTAGAGTAATTACTTTCAGCTCCTTTAACTCATCTTTTTGATATTTACCTCCACAAATCTATAAATAACTGTGTTATAATGCTATTCTTTTTTTGTCTTGTTCCAATTTGGGGCATTCTCTATTGACTTCCCACTATCAAAGGTGAGTATGTAACTGTCTTTCACCCCCTTTTCCCAGTGCGGCTTCCACCACACAGGAATACACTTCCATCCCTCCACCATTCCCCCTGTAATTTCGTTAGATCAGAATTTAGGGTTTAATGTGTTTATTACATTTCAATTAAAAGTTTTTTAATTAAAAATCCAGTGGGTACATCATTTTGACTATATAAATGCCATTCACAGCTGAGTTGTCAGGTATATTGTGATTTATTCTCCTTTCAAGCCGATTTTGCATTCCCTGTAGTTGGTAATTGTCTGTAATCATTTCTCTTTGCTCAGTTTTCTCTGTATTTATTACTAACTCAAGTCCCCAGCTACCTCCCAGTGCTGTACGTCTCCTCGCAAGGGTTCAATTACATAAAGAATTCTATTCATTTCCCCTTGAATTTCTTCTGGAACTGTGTGTCCTGCTTTCATCTCATGGCTCCGCAGGCATGCTGCACAATTGTCAGCTGGTGCCACTCTGCACCTTGTTGCTGGGTTATCCTGTTTCTTCCTCTGTCTTACTTGCGTCCTCTTTTCGGTAGACCATATCCTGAAGTAACTTTCCAAAATAAGGAAGCTTGGAAGGTAAAATTCTGGTGACCCTGTACATCTAAAAATGTCTCTGTGATACCTTCATTTTCATTAGTAAATTGCTTAAGATATGGAACTCAAGATGGGAAATCCAATTCTCCAAAATAAAGCTGTTGACAAGTAGAATGCCATAATGATCCCTGATCCTATGAGATCTGTTTTTCCCTCTGAAAAAATTATAGAAGAAAAAAAAAAGCTTGTAGGATCTCCTTTTCATCCCCAGAGCTCTAAAATTTCACAGTGACGTGCCTTGATATGGAAATATTTTTATTCACTGAGCTAGATGCTTTCAACCCAGAAATGCAAGAAAATTTTTCTTGAATTTTTTTTTTCCTCAGAATTACCCTTCTTCCATGAGCCTGTTCACTCTTTTTAGAACTATTATTCAAATGCTGACCTTCCAGGACCAGTCCTCTAATTGTCTTATCTTTTCCCTCCTATTCTCCATTTCCTGGTCGTTTTGCTCCACTTTACAGGAGTTGTCCTTCATTTATCTTCTAACTCTTCTGCCAAATTTTTGTTGTTATCATATTTGCAATTTCCAAAAGCTTCCTTTTCTATGGTACCCTTTCCTTGTTTCATGGATGTAATAATATCCTCTGAAGGCACTTTGAAATGATTCTTTGGAAGTGTTGTTCTTCCTCCCAGCTCTTGTTTCCTTGTGCTTATTCTTGTGTCTTCTGTCTGTTAAGGCAGATGCTGTCCTCAAATGCCCGACAACCCATGTCTGTCTGCCTGTATTTAAGCGTGCCACTGAAAAGCCATTTGGCATCTCTTTGCCTGTGAGCGAGCCTCGCTGGCTCTGGTCTTCACAGTAAGGGGACTGGGCAGGAAAGCTCCCAATAGGAGCGATGTTAGGCGTCTGTTCTCTGGAACTAAGATTCTCCAGAAAGGACTCTCCCACTCCTGCCTGGAAGCTATGTGCTTACCTGCCGGTGTTCGGGGAACCAAGTGGGAAAAGATGACTGGGGGACGCCGAATAGTAAACTTTTCATTTAGCTTCTTGTCAGCAGACTCCTCCACCCTTACCTATGCTTGGTGCCCGTCAGTGCAGGCTCTTTATCCGCCCTGGAGAGTAAACGCCAGTCTCCACAGGTGGTAGAAGGAGCTGCCTCTGGGCTCAGCACAGGAAAGAGATCTAAGGAGCTGCTTCTCTACAGGACTCTTGTTAAAGTTTTCTCCTTCCTGCATAGTCGATGGTACATCCAAACTGCTTTTCTGTTTGTTTCTTTCTCCTGCCAGGCACCATCGTGTCCTGTGTCTCTTCAGGATTCTGCAGTGTAAACTGGTTGCTTCTTTGCTTTCTCTGCTGATGACATAGGATTCAGCTTTCTTAGGTCGGCTAAGGTAATTACCACCAATCCACCTACTCTCCAACCTCCAAAACTAGGTTGCCGTTTCCTCTCTCTTTCTGGTCCTTATGGGCTTATGACTTCTTTTAAAATATTTTGCTTAATACTCTTGTTTTACTGAGTTTCAGGAGAGAACAGAGCTAACTGTGGCTGTTCAAATGGCCACTTAAACCAAAAACTCTGTATTTTTAATGGGATAAAATAATGTATAACATAGCCAAAGACAACTGTAATCCTTTTTTGGAAAGTGTACATGCTTCGCAAATACTTAAATCGTTAGCATGCTTTTTACAAAGGCATTATTTATGCTATTTATTTTGTACTGTAAGACATTGATTTTTAAAGCTATATAACTCTAAATAAAAGTATATTTCTCAATGTCAAAGCTATCCAAAGTGTTATAATGGTCATTGTTATATAGTTTCTTTAGCACTATACTAGACATCTGGATATTCATTTTTGCTTGTGGAATTTTAACTTGGAAAAGGACTGTGGTATTTTAAATATATTTCAGAGACAAAAAGCTTCCGTACTGAACTGGTCAAGATGAAATGTCAGTGGATTAGCTGATTGGAGAAAAAAATCAGGGGACATATAACCAACGGGGTCACATAATTTTCCAAAACAGAGGTCTAGACAGATATGGCCAATAGACCCAGTACTTCACTGTACCTGCCAATACAGAGGCCATCCTTGAGAAGGTAGATAACTATAGCCCAATTCTGTCAAGTGGGTAACCCATCGAAGTTTTAAGATATCAAGGAACACCTACCTGAGGATGATTTTCATCAGCTTTTGTAGCCAGAATGCAGAAATCGCCACAGGTAGTAATAGAAATGAGACTCTTCACATATTTAACGTATTTCTCATTGTTTTTCGTATCCCAAAATACAACACAGTACTCTGGACGATCAGATCTGGTATAAGCATAAACTACAGTATTTGAGCAATAACCCCACTAGGAGGAAAGGGAGGGAACCAGAGGAGGGGAGGGAAGAAAGGAAAGAAAAAGGGAGAAAGAACATTTAACATTGGGAAATACAATAAAAATCATATTATTATATTTTTACTCTAGAAATATTGCAGATATTTGGTTTATCAGTTCTGACAAAATATATTCTTCAGAAATGGAAGACAATAGGACTGAACATTCAGCTTAATACCTTTTCTCATTAAAATAACAAAAAAATCTAAGTGTAATATAGATAGTTATAAAACAAATAATATACTGCAAAGATGAATTAGTTTAACTTTCCTTATTTTAATTTGTAAGATTTAAGCTTAAGTGGTGAAAAGTTCAGATTTTTCAACAGTCAATAATAGCTGCATGCGGGACAACGGGAAAAGTGATCCCTGTCAAAAGTTTAAATCCAAAAACAGATGCTTCCCCACCTCCGATCCACATTTTTTATATTTGATTTTTATGAGAATAACATACGCACATAGATTATAGTAAAATAATTCTACACGGTTTATTTAAAACAAAACCAAAAATACAACACCCCTAATTTCCTCCCAGGGTAGCCATTACAACTCTGTTAGCTGTAGCCATTTGAGTATTTATCTCCATATTACATATGTGCTGACTACAGACTCAGACACGTAGAGCTTTCCCTCCCATCTAGCTCTCCCCATATATTTATATGTAATTCTGAATAAATCAATATTCAGAATTGACAATGTTTACTATTCAAAGCTAAGCTATGTTTACTTCTTATACCATGATTACTTTTTTAAAAAATTTTTACTTTAAAATAATGTTAGATGTATACAAAAGTTGCAAAGATAGTACAGAGTTCCCTATACTCCTTTCCCAGTATCAACTATTGTTGATATCTTAACATTATTACCATGGTACATTTCTCACAACCAAAAAACCAACATTGAAAAAGCACTATTAACTAAACTCCATACTTTATTTGGATTTCATTAGTTTTGCCCCAATGTCCTTTTTCTCTTCCAGAATCCTATTTGGGATACATTATATTTAGTCATCACATCTCATTAGGCTCCCCCGGGCAGTGATGGGTTTTCAGGCCATCCTTGGTTTTGATAACCATGGCAGTTTTGAGAAGCACTCATCAGATATTTTGTAGAATGTCCCTCCATTTGGGTTTGTCCGATGTTTTCCTCATGCTCAAATTGGGATATTAGTTTTTAGGAAGAGCGCCACAGAAGTGAAGAGCTCCTTGCTTTTCTGTCACTATGTTTATTTGTGTTTTCTACTGTTTCATAGAAATGGAGGTATACAGCATATACTTTTGGGGGGGGGGAGGGCCTAGCTTCTTTCATTCAGCATAATTATTTTGATATTCATCTATGTTGCTGTATGTATCAATAGCTCATTCCATTTTGTTCCACTGGATATGTGTACAATTTGTATCCATTTGTATATATATATATATATATATATATATATATGTACAAAGTATGTATTCATTTATCTGTTGGTGGGTATTTGTAATATTTCCAGTTTGGGCTATTACAAATAAAAATGCTATGAACATTTGTGTATTAAAAAAATAAAATAAAATGAAGAGCTCGTCTCACTATGTCACTTCGGGGGAATGTGATATCCATGTGACTCACTGATGATGCTAACTAACCTTGATCTCGGGACACAGTAGTGTGTGCTGGCTTTCTCCACTGTAAAGTTACTCTCTTTCTTTCCCCTTTCCACATGCACTCTTTGGATGTGAGTCACTGGGTGCAACCCACACTCAAGTTGAGGAGCAGGGGACTACACTCCACCTCCTGGAGGGGGTGGTTTCTAAGTAAAGTCAGAAGCCCCTCTAAGGAAAATTTATTGCTTCTCTCCCATTTATTTATTTAAATAATTCATTTATATCAGTTTGTACTCATGGACATTTATATTATAATTTGGATTACAACCCAGCGTAACATCATTTATTTTGTTGCTCAACTTGTTCCAGCTCTGGCCACCGGGAACTCTTTCAGGTTGGCGGCCTTGTCTCTTTGGCATGCCTCCATCCTCTTGTTTTTTGAGCACTTCCTTACTTTTTGGCACTGTAAGATGTTCCAGGCTTATCTTGCACTTTTCCCAGCCTAGTTCTAGAGTCAAGTATTCTTAGTAGTTTACCAGATCAATCTCATACTTCAAAACTGGCTTTCGATCAAGTGTTAAATTAAGATAAAATACTGATTAGTTATTGTGCTTTTTATTCTCTTTTTCCCCATTCTGATCCATTCTCTGCCATTCTCTATCCTACTCTATGCCTTGGAGGCCAACTTCTATGAACTGCATGCCCTGGGCTACCTTGCCTTCTGGTTTGAAGACATCAGCAGGTGGAGAGAGGGCTGAAGTATTTACTCCCCCATGCTGCCTCCGCCTACCAGCTGGCAGTGGCTGTGCTCCAGCAGGTGGCCCCTCTTGTACAGCCACTGCTTTAGTGGATTCCACCAGCAACAATACTTGCTTATCTTACCCTCTGTTGCTAGTCTCTGGGCGCTGCTTTGTCATCCCTTACTGGTCCCCCTAACCCTGCCCATACCCCTGTAATGAACCATTCATCAATCTCTCTTCAATGACTTCTTTGAGCATGCCATCTGTTTCCTGCTGAGACCCTGACTATTGGAATAATGTTCTTAATTACATATAGTATTCCAGAAAATCTTCCTAGGTCTAAGGTCTTTACACTGAAAAAGACTCCTTTCCGCTGGTTTCAAAAGCAAAGTGGCTATGACTATAAGTAAGAAACATATATTACACTTTGAGGTATAACAAAGTTGATTTAGTAAAAAACAGCTTTTTTTTTTTCAACTGCTCGTAATACTCACCTTATAATCAGGTCGAATATTTGCAAAATATATAAAAGAATCAACAGCTAGTGCAATTTTCAGTCCACCTCCTTCCCAAGACAGTGCAGACATCTGCTTTCCAGGAACCTTCAAAGTACCCAGATGCTGAAAAAATAATTATATTTAACCGAAAGTATCACAATTAAAGAAAATACAAATTACCACCAATCGTTTTGCAGAAATTAAAACTGGTATGAAAATTATTTTGTGAAAGGTTGCTACTCACTTCAAAATCCTTTTCCTTAAATTTTTATCATGAAAAACAACATATGATAAGAGAAATTTACAAACCATAGCCAAAGAATTCAGTATCAAATTTCAAGAAATCTAAGACGCCAGAGATTTAAACATGCATCTTGATTTTTATGTACAACTAAGGAAAGAAAAAACACATTGCTAATTAAAATAGGGCAACTTTGATGATAAGATGCTTCCCAATTTTAGAATCATAAAAAAATTGTCTTCTTAGAATCAACGAATTATCATCATAATAAACTCAATCCTTAAGTCTTACCTCTTTTTCATCCCCCACAGCCAACCACTCACCAAGTCCTATTGCTTTTACGTCTATCCATCCCCCACAACTTTCCCGTCTTGAAAGAACTAGGATACTAGCCTCCTAAATGCAGTTTCACCTTTCATCTGTTTTCTCATTCCCACCCTCTACTCCCAAATTCAATCTCTACTGTCAGAATTATCTTTCTGGAACACAAATCTGGTCATATCCTACCCTGAAAATGTTTACTACTATTTAAAAATTAATAGCTCCCCACCATCACAATCTTTAGCATAATATACAATGCCTTTCCCCATCTGAGACAAAATTTCACTCTCTGGCTCAATACCCCACTATCTAGCCCACACACCATAATTCTTGTGTTCTCACTCATGAGAGAACTACTGTGCCTCTGTATCTTTGGCTCCTATGGTACCCCTTCTGCCTGAAATGCCCCATTTCTTCCCCCTGTATCTCCCCTATCCTCGCTAGTACTCATCCCCCTGGAGTACCTCTATTTATCCTTCAAGATACAACCTAAAGATTGTTTCCTGCCTTCTTCCCTCCTTCTATGGTTCCGGAGAATTTACACAGTGAGCTGCGGGAGAGCACCAACCTTCTCATATTCACCTTTATTTCCTACGCTTTAATACCGTGCTTGGTAAAGAGGTACTCAATCAATACATAAATGTGTTCTACATTCCCATTACTTTGCTCATACACTAACACAGTCCATTGTATAGCTAAATTAATGAGTCGATAAATGAATACAAAGACTTTTTTTTAATGAGCCCATAAAAAGAAAATATTTTTAATCTATGCTTATTTGACAGAACAGTATTATCCTGAGAATTTTAATAAATTATATTGGTATCCCTTGTTGTTAAGTAGATATGCTATCAAGTCAAACTTAATGTATTAAACTCCATTTGCCAGGGATACTAATGGGGGAAAAAAGTTTTAACCTGAAGGGTCCACTTTATCAGTCCTGCTACCTGTATGAAACCACAGTGAACAAACAGACGCTCAGAATAGCACTCTTGGTATTACCAGCCCACACTGGGAGGAGATAAAATCCTCTCCTAACTGCAAACCAGCCAGGTGGTGGCAACAGCAAGGAAAGAAAGCGGGCTCTGATCAGCGTTCAGGCAGCGCTGTGGTAAGCAGGCGTTTTCTCCTTAACTCTTTTCACGTGCACAACAGCGCCATGGGGTAGGTGGCGCCTTTATTTCAGGAAATAAGTAAACTGAGTCTCAAAGGTTAAATACCTTCTCTAAGTGAAAGCACATGGCGGAAATGGAGTTCAAAGCCAAGGCCGAGTCAAGCTGACTACAAACCCCTTGTTCGTTATTCCCTCCAAGGCTAAGACCACAGCGCAAAAACCGGAAGACCTTAGCCCTCAGAATCGAAAGCAAATTCTTCACTCAGGTTTGCCTTGAATTTAAATCTTTTGATACCTTTGTTCCAAGTTATCTTTCCTATCTTAATAACATAGATCCAAAAATAAATCCCCCATATAGTCACTCATTCCAAAAATACTGTGACTATTATACCCTGAGGAACTATCCTAGAGACTCAGTTATACCAAAAACCTCTCACAGTTTTCAACTTAACACGTACCACATTGTTTTCCAAGATAAAGCAAATAAGGCCTTAAAATCCATGTTTTTTAGTTGCAGAAGCCTGAACTAACAAAAATAAGCAGATAAAACTATATAATGATACATAAGCCAATGGCTATGAACAAAAAGAATGTAAATTAAGGTTAGAGCATAGAAATAAACATCAGATTTTTAATTTTTTAGAAGCTTTGAGAACTATGCTTTTGTTTTTCCTTAGCTTTTACATCTACCAGAATATTATTAGCTGACAATGTATAGAGAGTACCTACTCTCTAGAGCACCTTCTCCTGGGTAACTTTGAGATACTGATTCAAAAGCATTACTGACACCATTTCTTACCCCTATAGAAATTGTTAAAATATATTAAAATTAAAATATTAAAACAACTGGTGAAGGATTTTGTGTAGCCAAAAATACATATTTTTAAAGTCTATGTTCAATTTATAAAAACCAACAGGATAGCCAAAAGGGACTGAATATAGTCTAGAGTTACAAAATAAAATAGGTAAAAATTTATTAAGCTTCGTTACTAATAAGTTCTCATTTTCTAAATTCTTTAAAATTCATAATATATTAATTCTCCTATTTGTTATTTTCCACTACTTCTTCAAGAAAATTCTTTTTTTTTTTTTTTAGCTGAGCCATCCTGCCACCTGTTCGCAGTTCAGCGGCAGCTCAGCTCAGGCTGGGACTCGAACCACTATTGCTCAGAGCTCACACTCTTGAGCGAGCTCTTAACCAAATGAGCCACTCAGCTGGCCCTAAGAAAATTCTTTAAAATTAAACTTATTAATAATAGTGAAGACAACATATAGACTTATGAAAACAATGCTTATATTTTAATATAGCATCATCTAAGATTAATTATTAAGATAGATTTTCTTAAAATAATTATTATACAACAAATTAAAACAATTAGAAGTTTGGGGGAAGGGGATACAATACCTATGTTCAATATCTATTAATATAACATCTATAATAATATTTAATATAGCACATTAAAATCTAAAAATATTCATCAGAAACAACTAAATTACACTAAAAACAACTCAAAAACCAGCTGTGAAAATAGGTACATGTTCAGATCATAGAGAAAATATTCTAAATAACTATTCCATAGTGATTTCTTATATGAAACATCTGGTTTTCTAATGTACAGATTATACAATAAATTCCTTGATAATATACAACCATTAAGACTTATTCAAAGATATACACCTGATATTTCATCATTTTTTACTCCAAGTGTCCTTTTTAAAAAATACGACGTTGGGCCGGCTGAGTGGCTCAGTTGGTTAAGAGCTCGCTCAAGAGTTTGAGCTCTGAGCAACAGTGGTTCGAGTCAGCCCGAGCTGAGCAGCCGTGAGCTGCCAATAGGTGGCGGGATGGCTCAGCTAAAAAAAAAAAAAAAAAAAAAAAAAAAACGACGTTTATACCTCTTCCTCCATTCTTTTCCCCCCTGCCTTACTTACTGCATATTTCAATCAAAAGAAAGCAAGCAAAATCTTTAATACATTTACCTCGCCAAATGGAGTGTAAAACTGCACAGTGTTTATATCTTTATCCTGAGTGACAGCCTTCTGGGAGCCTCCCACAGCTAACACGCTGCCAATGTGGTTCCACTGGATACTTACGACATACATGCCAGTATCAATTAAAACAGGATCTAGTCAAAAAAAAAAAAAAGGCAACTGTGGTAAAATACTTAGCCTAGAGAACTTTATTATCTTAAGAACAATTTTAAAATATTTTTTAATTCTCCATATTAAAAAAAAGAAGAAGAAAATTACATACTTTGGTCATTCTCATGTCTCATTATCTGGCACCTCCCATTGTCAAAACAAACAGCAAGGCAGGGGCAGTCTGGCTCCACGTAGCCTTCAGTGCCGTGGTACCAGTGAATCCCAGCAATACTGATCGCGCCAGTGACATTCACCAAACAATTCAGTTTCATTTTCATCTAAATAAAATCAGTTAAGTTAGTATTCTGTATTTTAAAACAGGTCAGTAAGAATACAGTATTGTAGAAAGAACACTGAAAGCAAGATTTAAAAATCTGGTTTCAAATGCAAGCTCCATCCCTTACTGGTTTACCAACCCTGGACAAATCACTTCACCTGAGTTTCAGTTTTCCCCATTTGCAAAATGAGGATTTAAATAAAAATTTTAAAAATTAAGAGAGTTTTTAGGAGACTCAAATAATAAGGGGTGTATGAAAATATTTAGAAAATAGCAAAGTGTCACACAAAAAGTTAGCTAGTATCAGTTTCAGTTTTGTTTTTATGTAATGTCCCGACGCTGACTAAAAACAAAACTGCCCATAAGATCAGAGATCCATCATAGTTATATCACACAAAGCCAGAGTTCTTGAGATAATGCCACCTAAGCCTATTCTACTTTGCCTCTTTTCCAGGACCTGATTTTTGTCCCTTACAGTTGAAGTCTTCCATTCTTTTCATAAGCAACCGTTAGTCGCTTGCTACAAAAACATTCTTGGTATCTCATGTAAACTTTGGCTTCAGGTACTAGACAACACAAAGATTAAACTGCACGTCATCTACTCAGTATCCCTCAGCTTCAGTACACTGAAATCTTGTCTTTTCCAGCTACCAAAACATCAGAACAAAAAGCATTAATTGACCTTGAAGCAACACAGGCATTTTTTTTTAATAAGACAAAATTTTAGACAATAGAAAAAAAACTTGAAGACTTTCTTGATTACACAAAGCATCATAATAAATAAAGGTATAGGCCGGCTGAGTGGCTCAGTTGGTTAAGAGCTCGCTCAAGAGTTTGAGCTCTGAGCAACAGTGGTTCGAGTCAGCCCGAGCTGAGCAGCCGTGAGCTGCCAACAGGTGGCGGGATGGCTCAGCTAATAAAAAAAAAATAATAATAAAAAATAATAATAATAAATAAATAAATAAATAAAGGTATATACATATATGAATAATATATTTAAAAATCATATAAAATTATATAAATAAAACTAATAAATAGATGCATATATACTTACTACAAAATTCCCTTGATTATCATAAATGTGTATTTCCCCATTTGCCATTCCAAAAAGTAAGATTTTACTATCTGCAGACCATGCTACATGGCATAACTGTATACCCTTCAGATCTTTTCCCCAAATGCGATTCCCTAAAACAAAACATACAACATAATTATTTCATTAAAAGTTCAAGGCTATGATTCTCCACCAACTGCTCTAAAAATTTTTGTTTTGCTGAAGAGTTTTCACATTCTTCACAGCATTCATATGTTTGTTTACTTTATCAATAAATATTCGTTGAGCAACTACTACGTGTCAAACACCCTAATACACATTCGAAATAGCAATGTTTCCAACTTTCTCCCTTCTCTTCTAAGCTCTGACCCAGGATCTCACTCCCAATTAGCAGATGAATTCATATAAACTTTCAAAAAAATCCCTCATTTCCACTTTCAAACATTCAAAACATAACTGAATCCACTCTTATCCTTTCTGCTTTGCCCCAACGAAGAAAGACGCTATGTCCCCAACGGGACACCGTCTAAAGATAATCCCTCCACCTATTCTCCCATCTAATCCCTTCCTAGTTTTGCAAAGATCTCCCTCTGCTGATAATTCACATTTTCTTTCTCTTTCAACTCTTCTCTTCAGGCCCTTTCTTATGAGCATTTCAACATATTCAGATCTATTCCTCTTCAAAACTACCATCTCAAATAAAAGCAAGCAAAACAAAGAACACTTTCTCAACCCTAAACTCCCCTCTAGCTACCACCCTATTTGTACCATTCCCTTCCCAGCCCAACTTCTTGAAAGCATTATCTACACCTGTAGTCTCCACTTCCTCACCTCCCACTCAGCCCTCAGCCTAACCCAATCTGGCTTCCGCCCACAGCTTCACCGAAAGCCAGAGGCCACTAATGGCCTGTTGCTAAATCAAGGATACTTCTCTTTTCTTTTTTTTGACCATCCCTTCCTTCCTTCTTGGTTTCTATGAGTCTGTGTACTCCTTGATCTCTAAGACTTCTACTTTTGGAGTACCCTTTATAGAATTCTCTTCTTCTATCTATCCATTAAATGACACTGGTTCTTACTCCACAGATGGCTTAGATTTTTCATCTATTCCAATGGTTTAAATTGGAATATATCACCATCCAAATATTAGTGATTCCCAAAATTATGCCGTCAGCCCAGATATTTCTGAAATGCAGACATACATGTCTAACAATGCTCTAGAAGCAGTTACTTGGATGTCCTATCACATGACAAAATCAACAAGTTCAAAACTGAAATCTTCCCTCAAAACCAGTCTTTCTCCCACATCCCTTATTTCAATGAAAGGCACCACCATCCACCCAGTTGTCAAAGCTAAAAACCTGACTATCACCCTAGACACTTCCATCCCCTCATCCCCATTCCATCAATAAGGTCCTATCTACTCGTATTCTAACTTCTAAGTATTTCTAGAATACATCTACTTACTTCTTCTTCCTTGTCATTACCCTGGTTCAGGCTACCATCCACCATCATCCGTCACCTGAGCTACCTTAGTAATTTCCTCTTGGTACGCTTGCCCCCCTTCTTTTCTTTTTCCATTATTTATATTGCAGTCACAGAGATGTTTCTAAAGAACAAATCTTATCACATTGTTTCCATTCGTAAAACCTTTCATTGGGGTCCCAATGCTACTAGAGTTAAGTCAAAAATCCTTGTATAACTTATGATCTTCATGGTCTGGCCTCTGCTAATCTCTCTAATTTCATCACATACAACTCTTCTCCCTAGTATTATACTATATTAATTCTCAAAATGTACCCAAAGTGAGGCTAAGTTCAACCCCTCTGGACCTCCTCAAATGCCATTTCTGAGGCACAGCACATTCTGCACATCAGCCTCACTTGCGGCTAAGTTTCAGCATAGATATCACCTCCTCCAGATGCATTCCCTGATTCCTCCAAGTCTGGGTTACATACGTACTTGTACATGTTGCTGTGTTCTCCCTGTCTAAGCATTTACCACAGGCATTGTAATGCTTGGTTACTTACCCATCTCTCCTGGTCTAGAGCTGGAATATTTTTTTTATTGTAACTGTTGCCTAAAACTACATTTGTGACTTTGTAGGCTCTCAGAAACATTTGTGCAATTCAAAGTTACACACACACACACACACACACACACACACACACACACACACACACAAAACGCACATGAAAATGACTTAAAAATAAATTATTTCTCTATAGACAGAGTTTCACATTAAAACAAAGGAACAGGCTTTCAGAAGTCCAGTGTTATCTGTGAACTAGAATTTGAAAGACAGGTTTTAAGGCTATGAAACACAGCGAACAATGATATGTTCAGCTCTACTAAAAAATGACCAGATGAGCGTTTCACAATACATAGAAATATCGAATCATTATGCTATACACCTAAAATTAATGTTATATGTCGATTACATCTCAACTTAAAAAAATAACCAGAGATTGTTATATCTCTATATAGTTTTTTGAAACTAAAATCTACACATTTATAATACAGTATAACCAGTGTAAAGGTAAATTATTGGGTTGTCGGAAAAGTCGTGATGCATTTTTGCAATGAAAAACATAGAAAAAAACACATCATGACTTTTCCGACAACCCAATATATAATTAGGCAGACATACTTAAAATAATCCTTAAAAATTAATTCACTTTTTTCAGTGCCACTGTAAGAAAGTATATTTTATACTTGATATACTTAAAAATAAATGATTCTTGAATGTCACCAAATTATATACCCAGTTTTCTTTTTATTTTTCTGTCAGAATGCTAACATTTGATAATTTAAAGCCCTAATCATAAAAAGTCAGCTGAATCTTGATCTGAGTTGTGTGTGCGACGGGCATTACCATCCACCGAGCCAACGATCACAGCTCCGTCCTCGTACACGATGCAGATCTTCTGTCCGTCAGCGTTCCAGCTCATGCTTCGAACCACGGATTTGTTCCTGTTGTTGATCATCTCCTCATACCAAGAGCCTATTTTCACAAATTAAAAAAAAAATTACAAGTCAAAACTTGCTCATCTGTGAAACAGTACTTAAGAGCTGAAAACATCCTATAAGATACAATGTGGAATAAATAACTGCAAAGTTTTCTACAACCTGAGACATCAAACTATAAAACCTTCAAATCCAGCATAAATGAAGTGAAAATTAACTTAGTCTTTGACTAGTAATTTCTTCATAATGTCACAGAAAACAAACTAAATGCCCATCTTTTTTCTCTTTTATCTCCCTTTCTTTCTGTCAATTAAAAAGTAAAACTTCATTTGCTTTTGAAGGGCCAAAACAACTGATTTTTCTCAAAGCCTAACTTTTCCCATTTGAACATACTTCAGACAATAACCTAGGAAAAAAACAGAATAACCACAATAACTTTATATGTATGCATAAACTCCCCAATGATTAATTATAAGCATAATAAATACAAGCATATTAGGTAAAAAGTCTAAGCCTGATTGAAAAATATTTTCAATTTTCAAAATTTTCAAAACAGCTCATATCACATTGCTGAATAACAAAAAAATTCTTATATACAAGATTGGAGTGAGATGTGACTTCTCAAGGTAAAGCCAAATGTGAGGCAAATCACAAGGCTATTTTGTTGTGTTTTGTTTTTCAAAAGGCATAACTATATTCTGGTATAGGGAACTCTGGCCTGAAGTCAAGCAAATAATCGTGTAATTTGAAATTAGTCAGAGCAGGGTATTATCAGAGTAGAAACGAAGGCCCAGAGAAGACCCACACTGGAAAACGACAAAATTCCTCCTGTACTTTCACACTCTACTCCCTACACTCACATAAACTTTTTTAAAAATAATAAAGTTGTGAGGCGACCAGTTAGCGCAGGTGGTTAGAGCACAGGCTCATAGCACCAAGGTTGCTGGTTTGATTCCCACGTTGGCCAGTGAGCTGCACCCTCTACAACTAGATTGAAACAACTATTTGACTTGGATCTGATGGTACTAGAAAAACACACTGTTCCCCGATGAAATTTCTTAAAAATAAAATAATAATAATAATAATAATAAAGTTGTGTACTACGGCATATTTTTTAACTAAGAATTTTTAAATGGTATACCCTGAACATTTTCAAAACAATACACATGAACTAAGGTACCCTTTGATTCAAAGATGATGGCTACAGGCCTTGGAGAATACGTATTACGAGGTTTTTTTTCCCAGAATAGTGGTACACCTAAATTACTCCTTCTCTCGCTCTGTCTTGTGGGCAAAAGGCACAAATTGTGAGCCGAGTCAGAGCTGAGATGAAATCTGTATCCATGAAAGAAAAGGAAGCTAACTGACTCAATAAAGGAAATGAATTACTGCCTTTAACTTCTTAATAAATGTGTTTTTATCTACTTAACTTAGCACTGACCACATAGAAACTACTTCTTATTGCAAACCTGGAAAAACAAGAGCTCTCTCAAGCAGAAACTACTCTGCTAAGAGTCTAAGTTAATTTTGGAAATAACCAACAATCACCTAATTCATCTTCCTAAGAAAGGTCACAGGTTCAAAGGAAATAAAGTTAAAAGGATAAATAGGCAGCAGTAAATCCAGAAATATCATCCCTATGCAGTCAGGATGAACTGTTGCTGGTTAAAAGGGACCTATTTCAAAGATGTTATTTCCCTATCCAAATACTGTAATTCAGACTCCAATTTGTGAAAAACTGAATAAGCGCTCCTACTATACCTTTATATAACATCCAAACAATGATAAGCCCATTTTGATCACTCGTAGTCAACTTCTGATATTGTTCATTCCATGTTACAACTTGAACAGAACCTACAAAAATATAAAACAATTCAGAAACTACAAAAAGGCTACACTTCCAAAATTTACTGTAACAAACACCAAGAGCATGTTAAAATCAATACCATTCCTGTGCAACTAACCAGTCTTTAATATTAGTAAAAAATATTTACAGGATGCAGTTGCTATTATCACTTATTTTCTGTAAGACTGCACAATACTATTTTTCATGTTTTTTCCTATTTCATGGCAGCGAAGGTACCTACTATAGTCAGCTACCACAGCTACCATATATCTAATGACAGAAACAAATGTAAGATTTATCCCATTGGCCAGACTTCCAAGGATTACAATGCCCCAAGGACATCATACTAAGTACTTGTTTGTTTGTTTGTTTTGGGGGGAAGGGGGGTGGATACTGTTTGTTAGTGGCTGATATGTCCCCTAATCTCGCTTCCCCCTTTGTTTTCCATTTTATTAGTAATATACTCTGGAGTATATCTTAAATCTCTGAGTTACAGAAATAATTGATTTTGTTTTTTACAATTTTAATCCCTAAATATTTAAGTGTGCCTTTCTTAAGAATAAGGACATTCTCTTTCATAACCATATTAAAAATCAGGAAATTTAATACTGATGTAATATTATTCTCTAACCCACAGTCCACATACAAATTTTATCAATTGTCTAAATAACGAACGTCCTTTAGATACTTGTTTTTCTCATCCCAAAAGCCAATCTAGAATCACAAAGTGCATTCAGTTGCTCTCTCTTTAGTCTACTTTAAACTGGAACCATGGGACAGATTTTAAGGATGGATTATACCCTATTCATATACAGGTAACAGCATTTTCCAATGTATAAAATAACAGCCACTTTTTTCAGATTTATTGAGGATATGTAATCATGTAAAAATTGTTGAGTGACTCTAGGCTGTGCTAATTATGGCTCAATAAAAATGATTTCTATAAATATTACCATTTTTTAAATGATGACAATTCTGCATTAAGTAGACGGTTTCTAAATGCCTACAGATAATACTATTCAAATATGATTTTTAAAATTACATGACTCACCACTATGGCCTTCAAGATTTTGATTCATTGAAAGATTACTGGGGGCTGCAAGACCCCTCAATTTTGCATCATCTAGAAAAACAAAATAAAAAACAATATGGCAAATATACAAAAGTGACAGATTATAACACTTTGACACATCTTGCTTTTTTTTTAAAGGAGTTCCTATTCCTGGACGATGTTAGAAAGACTTTTTTAAAAAGCATGCCTCGGGCCGGCCGAGTGGCGCGATGGTTAAGAACTCGCTTGGGATGCCAGAGGGCCCCAGTTCGGATCCCACATATGAGGGCCAGTGACACTGGCCTCTGCAGCTAAGATGCTGAACAACAGCTCAACCTGGAG